GTGTTGTTCTGTGTTGTGTTGTTCTGTGTTGTGTTGTTCTGTGCTGTGTTGTTCTGTATTGTGTTGTTCTGTGTTGTGTTGTTCTGTGCTGTGTTGTTCTGTATTGTGTTGGTTCTGTGTTGTGTTGTTCTGTGTTGTGTTGTTCTGTGTTGTGTTGTGTTGTTCTGTGTTGTGTTGTTCTGTATTGTGTTGTTCTGTGTTGTGTTGTTCTGTGTTTTGTTGTTCTGTATTGTGTTTTTTCTGTGTTTTGTTGTTCTGTGCTGTGTTTTTCTGTATTGTGTTGTTCTGTGTTGTGTTGTTCTGTGTTGTGTTGTTCTGTGCTGTGTTGTTCTGTATTGTGTTGTTCTGTGTTGTGTTGTTCTGTGCTGTGTTGTTCTGTATTTTGTTGTTCTGTGTTGTGTTGTTCTGTGCTGTGTTGTTCTGTGTTGTGTTGTTTCTGTGTTGTGTTGTTCTGTGTTGTGTTGTTCTGTTTTGTGTTGTTCTGTGTTGTGTTGTTCTGTGCTGTTTTTGTTCTGTGTTGTGTTGTTATGTGCTGTGTTGTTCTGTGTTGTGTTGTTCTGTGCTGTGTTGTTATGTGCTGTGTTGTTCTGTGTTGTGTTGTTCTGTGCTGTGTTGGTTGTGTTGTGTTGTTCTGTGTTGTGTTGTTCTGTGTTGTGTTGTTCTGTGCTGTGTTTTTTCTGTGCTGGTTGTTATGGGCTGTGTTGTTCTGTGTTGTGTTGTTCTGTGCTGTGTTGTTCTGTGCTGTGTTGTTATGTGCTGTGTTGTTCTGTGTTGTGTTGTTCTGTGGTGTGTTGTGTTGTTCTGTGTTGTGTTGTCCTGTGCTGTGTTGATCATTGATGTTGCTGTTATTGATGAACCAGAGCCGTCACAAGGCCGTAACATAAATTAACACGCCTTGTTAAGTCTACATACATGAAATTCACAGACAAATCAGCTAAGGATATGTTCTACAAAACACCATTTGAAAGATCCAAATATCTTTATTAATTTAGGAGTTGCGATTTGTAAACTTTGAATGTCTTTTCTCAGTTTATTTGCTGTATAACCCTTGCGGTTTAACGCTTCTTTTGATTATAATTATAATAATTTTCTGTTTGTTAAAGTGTCCCCTGTGTCCTTTTATTTGGCAGCACCTCGAGCAGCCCCTGAGGGTCATGATGCTGGGTACTGCATGAAGACCTGGAGCAGCCCCTGAGGGTCATGATGCTGGGTACTGCATGAAGACCTGGAGCAGCCCCTGAGGGTCATGATGCTGGGTACTGCATGAAGACCTGGAGCAGCCCCTGAGGGTCATGATGCTGGGTACTGCATGAAGACCTGGAGCAGCCCCTGAGGGTCATGATGCTGGTACTGCATGAAGACCTGGAGCAGCCCCTGAGGGTCATGATGCTGGGTACTGCATGAAGACCTGGAGCAGCCCCTGAGGGTCATGATGCTGGGTACTGCATGAAGACCTGGGCCGGGATCCACCCAACCCATCTCAACCTCAACCTTTAATCTATATTTAAGGGATTTAAGTATTCTTGACAGGTGATGAATAGGCTTCGTGTAGCCTCACTTATCCTGTGTAGTCGATAGGCTTAAAGGACCCCAATGGAAATAAGTCATTCTTACTTTTCTGGGTTATCCTACTTTTTTTACACATATACTATGTATGATAATCTATATAACTGTATTTGTGTGTAACAGAATAAACTTACCACATTAGTCAACCAAGTACGTATATAAAACTTCACTGAGGTTGTAGCAGACAGCTCCCTAATCACCTCAGGAATGTACTTTACCCACGAGCCGAGGGTATATGAACTTGAGCAACAAAAGTGTACTGAAGAACAAATTTCATTTATTTTCTAGGCTTCTGAATCTTCAAGAAGCGGGCAGCTGCACCTTCACTAGTGTATTGGTTACTATCGGATCCGCATAGTTGGAGCGGCTCCCTTATTGTTAAACATCTGCCTGTTGCAAGGCTTCTCTTGATGTAGTTAGCCTTGCCTTGCTTTACGATCATTTTCTTTGATCCACGGCAACCAAAACCATGGTATTAAATTTTTTTATGCACTGCCGATGATACCCCCAGTGTTCGGTGAAGACATAATCAGGGAAGAGCTAAACCCATAGGGGTCATACAGCATGTGTTATGGTAGACAATATGATTCGATTCAGGGAAGGGAACGATAGATACACTTCCTCATATCATGAGCCCCTTAGCATCAAGGCACCCTCCTTAAGTGCCAAGGGAAGAATTAGGGACAGCCAGTAGAAACCCCCTGCTCTCAACTGCCTCCTGGCAGTGAGTTTCTCAGATGTTGAAACTATATTCTCCACTGTAGGGCTACCTCAGAGTAACTATTTAAAGGTTTTTGTGGAAGCGAGTCTAAGGACCTTGTTGGAGTGTCCTACTGAATGGCTCCTTCAATGTAATTTGAGTCATGAAACCAGAAATTTTGATTGGGGCAGTTAGTGTGACTAGCGGCCAAAAATTTGCTGGACGTCACACGCATAGACAAATAATAATAATAGACATTAATGTTAATAAACACACAGACAAAGAATGCAGGAATTGTTATCAGTGTACACAGCCTTCCGGTCACGTATTTTCCCGAGGCCGACCGGAAGTATACATTAATGGCAGTGTCCATCTTCTAGAGAAAGATTTAGTGTTTTTTTTTTGTCGTATTATCGACTCTAGGAGACTGTCTTGCTCATTTAGTTTCTGGCTGTTAAATGAAGGTAGACAATTTAGTACATATGTTAACCTGAGTAGACTCAGGCACTTTGCAAGAAGTTACATGGCGCCGTGGGTCTATATTTACTATTGGCTGTCCCCTCCTCTTAATTGAAACGTCAATATATATACATAACACATACAAAGGACACCCATTATAATTTAACATATGATTACAATAATAGCTTAGCTCACACTGGCTTCATGTTTAACAAAACTGAGACATGAAGCAAAAATACCAGACAATAAACAAACACGATAGCAAAGGTGAAAATAATTAATTAGTTTACATTATCCAGAAATATAACTGCGACGTAATGACGATATTACTTCGAGCATCACATTACAGGATATGTGAGAATTGTCTCAATGTTAATACTGAAAGAGTTCTCCTAACATGATAATTGTTTTTTCGACTTTCGACCGTTGTCTGACATTTTCAGGTACGTCTCTCTAAGTGAGTGACCTTTCTGTACCACAGACTATGTCCAGGACAGCTCCTGCGAAGTACTGCAATGAATTTTATCTGGGTTTAGCGCTCCCCCATGCTTATATTATATAATGGATTTTATCTGCGAAGACGAACACCTTCGATATTAAGGCCCTCGACGTCCTGTCCAGTGACTCTGGTTCCAGACTTACAGGACAAGAGCCTGGTTGATCAGGCTCTGATCCACCAGGAGGCCTGGTCACAGACCGGGCCGCGGGGGCATTGACCCCCGGAACTCTCTCCAGGTAAACACACTATACAAACCACATTTAGCTCGTTATATACATAAACACTAAACACAACCTTTATTTCTTAACACCACAAGTACATTTACACAAACAAAGTTAACATGACTTGTGGCTAACTATATGCAAAAATTCCCACTTATACTATAAACATTAACACTTTGCCAGTGAGTTATACTTTGTATTTTTAAACAGGAAATGAAATCATAAATGAACAATTTGAATACTTTTAGCTGTCAAGCAGTTTCTTATAATTGCAATTTGTATTTATTTCATACAACTTGTCAAGTATATGAGAACTGCAACTTATCCAGGGACTGTCAAGTATTCTTAGAAGTTTTGTAAACAAAACTGAATGTGTATATACACTTATTAGTGTATATTGACTTATATGAAGGAAGGACAGCGTCTTAAATATACATGAGACAAGTAGGAGAGATGGTCTGACTACTTCCTACCAAGATTGACAGATTATCCTACTGTCTCCATTGTTATATTCGCCTGTATCCAACTGAAGAAGTCTGTTGTGCAGACGAAACGTTTTGGTAATACAGATACCAAGTGTTGCACATGTGTCTTATTCTTCATGGTGTGTACTAGATGAACGCTCGCGGACGGTGTAATATAAATAATGTCTAACCTTGCTTGAGGCACTAACTCGGACATCTTGTTGGGTTTGTAAAGGGCCACTGAAAACTTACGTCGTATCGAACCCTCTTTCCCGGTCTAAGGAGAAGACATATTGCCCGAATATGACCGATGAAAGAAAAGGGAATATTAGCCACGGTGTTGCTTTTTTCCTCTAAATCAGTTTTACGAGGCACCACCCCTGACAATTATGACTTTCCAAAGATTTCTTTTCCAGCTGCCTTTGCGTCTGTGAATCTGACGCTGCTCCTGCCCGTTTGCTAACACGCGAAGACTCTACCATAATAGTCCGTAATTACGCATTTTGTCCATAACGACAGTGTTTAGCTGTCTTCTGAAGTATGAGGGCCAAGTCCACTAGCTGATATTTGTCCCGTGGCTCGGTTGCTAGGGCACTCAGTTCACACACTCAGGTCCGTGGTTCGATCCCCGATACGGGTGGCAATATTAGGACGTGTTTCCTTAAGACACATGCTGTCCCTGTTCACCTAACAGTAAGTAGGTACCTGAATGTTAGTCGACTGGTGTGGGTCGCATCCTAGGGACAAAACTGACCTAAAGTGCCCGACATGCTCTACATAATAAGGGGCTTTCTATATAGTAAATCACTGATGTCGGCTATGTTGTATATGTACCTGCAGAAATATTATTATTACCGGCCAAAGCAGTCACCTCCAGAACCAGTCTTGTCATTGTTTCCTGAGCCATAGCAAACCATGTACAGTTGACTGCGTGTGCTCTCACCCATACACTCGTCATTCAGTTTTTAATTTTGCATGGTTTCTAAAGTGGTGGTATACCTGGAGGGTAAACCAGCTATTGTATTTGTTTGTATATATATATATATATATATATATATATATATATATATATATATATATATATATATATATATATATATATATATTAGCACTGATGAGAGAGAGAGGGGGGGGGAAACAGACAGACAGAGCTTCAGGTCTCCACTGTCGTATATTAAATATTTCTAACGTATGTGAAGTAGGCAACAAAAAATATCATTGTATAGTTGACTTGGCTTGTGCACTCGTGTTTCCTGCAGAAGTATCATTGTGCTTCATAACCACAGTGAAAGACACAGTCAAAATGTCCTCATAGCTGGGAAACGGATGACAAGTGGTCAATTAAATATAAATAAGCAAAAGCCTTTTTACTGAATGACATTTAGAAACGGTCGAAACGTGGGTAAATAAAAGGCACTGCTAAGCCCTTTCGCACGAGAGACATCACGGAATTACTAGTGTAGAGTTTTACTGTGTTATTCACTATGGTCATCCTGCATACCTGGTATCACCTGTGTCTGGCATTATCTTAAACCTATGACTCACAAGTCATACGTGTTAAGGAGTGTGCAATACTATTTATAGATTGCTTTAATATCCTCGATTTGCAAGTCCTTCCAATGGTCTAAAAGAAGGATCTCCATTCCTTTGAAAGGAAGAGCAGATCCTCCCAGAAGAATCTTCATCCCCGTGAGCTGCGGACGGAATAGGAGATCCTACTGGTGATCTAAAAGAAGGATCTCCATCCTCCTAAGCAGCGGGGCACTAGGTGGGAGGGCGGGACAGGAATCCCTTCTGTTGTGATCCCGTCAAGAGGACAAAGTAGCCAATAACGAAGGAGAAGTAGGTGAGAGGAAAGAGGATTCTTGAGGCTTCATCAATGGCTGTCTCACCCCTCCAGAACTCTACCCAAGAGTCTCGTAGACGCTGAAGACGAGGTCCTGCCAGTCCCTGAAAGAACCCATGAATGGTAAACATACAGGTTTAACAGGATTCTCACTGTGGCCACAAAAGTGGGTCTGTACACATGGTTCTCACGCCACTGTGGCTGTAACGAGCTGCAGCCCAGCCTCCTTCAAAGCTGTCGTTATCAACTCTCAAAATTGTTGTACACCAGTAATAGTTAATTCTACATCCTGTACCCCTGAACCATGATGGTGCACCGCCAAACCTGTACCCGTGAATCACGATGGTGCACCGCCAAACCTGTACCCATGAACCATGATAGTACACTTCCAAACCTGTACCCCTGAACAATGATGGTGCACTGCCACACGTGTTTTCTGGGTAAATTTTTATTCCTGTAAGGATACAACTGGCTTTACAAAGAGTAGCATAAATTTGTGCTAAGTAACATACTCAACGAAAATCTGTGTTATGGATTAATTAAGTAACTTATTTCCATTAGGGTGACCTAGTACTGACCTGAATCACATTGTTGACTTGTTTAACACTAATGGGGTGACCTAGTACTGACCTGAGTGATCTGATTGACATGAGTGACCTGAGTGGCACCATTAGTGGTGGAGGTGGGTGTAATAAGGCCACGAACACCAGTGAGAGAGCGGCGGTAGTGTACGTGATAGACGATAGAAAACTCCAGGAGGGCGGCAAACACGTACACCATGCACGTGATCATCCAGATATCCAGGGACTTGATGTACGACACTGTAAGTACACACGACACCAACAGTCTGATGGATCACAATATCATGGACCAATATACAGGCAAAGCAAACTTTAATTTACATAACCTAAGTGTTGCGGTAAATGTAAGTTTTACGTACTTCATCCCACTCCATAAGCACTCTCTCCCCACTCTATAAACACCTTCTCCCCACTCCTTAAATACTCTCTTTCCCCACGCCATAAACACTCCCTCCCCTGCCTTCAAAAACTCTCTCCGAAGACTATGTCTCCCTCCCTCCAAGATTCCCTCTTCCCTCCAAGATTCCCCCTTCCCTCCAAGACTCCCCCTTCCTTCCAAGACTCCCCCTCCCTCCAAGATTCCCCTCTCCTCCAGTCCTGGCTGGTACGTACCGGGAGGTAGATTCTTGGTGGACTGAGAGTACTGGGTGGCCATAGTCAATATAGAAGTCACTCCTAATGTTACTCGCGCTGCAGAAAAGAAACAAAAGTTAATCTCACGGCAACATGGGAAAGCGCTTGACCCGTAGGGGGGTCACAGAGCGCCTTGGGAATGGGAGGCAATCAAGTCTGATCCAAGGAAACGGAGGACAGCCAACACCAGTCTTGAGAGAAAGAAACAGCTCTTAGCTTGCAAATAAAGTTAGGAATCCTTAACCTAACCTTGTAAAATGCTGTGTAAAGAGAGAGAGAGAGAGAGAGAGAGAGAGAGAGGAGAGGGGGAGAGAGAGAGAGGGGGAGGGGAGGGTGAGAGAGAGAGAGAGAGAGAGAGAGAGAGAGAGAGAGATTACGTAAGGTTCAGGTACTGTCAGTAAAAGTATCAGTTAGGTACCAGACAGCAACTGTTGGTCTACAATATATGAGCATCAATTGTATACAAGAGAGCAGGTGTTGGTCTACCTGTTGCAGTACCTGGTGTGGAGTCAGGGGCTATCCAGAAGGACATCCACGAGAGGATGACTATCAGCACAGTAGGAACGTAGGTGTGAAGGATGTGGAAGTCAGGATGTCTCACCAGCACAAACACTGCCTTCACGCACGGGATGTCACCTGTGGTGCGAGAGGCAAGTGTGAGGCTGTTACCTATGGTGCGAGAGGCAGGTGTGAGGATGTCACCTGTGGTGTGAGTGGCAACTGTGAGGATGTCACCTGTAGTGACATCCTCACACCAACTGGGTTTAGAGTCTGTCAACTACACGAGGATCATTAAAGACGATCCCATTGTGTCGACTGAGTGTAATCAGGTAAATAACCTAGTGGTCCTTGTCCAAGGACCTATAGTGGTCCTTGTCCAAGAACCTGTAGTGGTCCTTGTCCAACTACCTGCAGTGGTCCTTGTCCAAGGACCCGCAGTGGTCCTTGTCCAAGAACCTGTAGTGGTCCTTGTCCAACTACCTGCAGTGATCCTTGTCCAAGGACCCATAGTGGTCCTTGTCCAAGGACCACTAGGTCATTTAGACCACCCGACCTGATGCCAGTGATCTTGAAAGTCAGCTTCCCATCTAAAGATTTAAGGCAACACGTAACCTGTTTACCGCCAGACAATAATATTGTTATCCCTAAAAGAGTGTCTCAAGTGAGCTTACAGCAAATATACGCTGAGGGTAATATACCTCTCCCAGTAAATATCCTGTCTATATTTGGGCTAACTTGGATAAGATTAATAAAATTGGGAGTTTTTTACAGACTGGAAGTGTTATTTATTCACCTTCAGACGTTGAATTATTTTTTTACGAAGTATTTGCTCTGTTTTTAGCGAATTAATGAAATTAAAATCTTGGGTCATATTTTATTCATATCTTTAAGACTTAGAATATAGGAACGCTAGGTTATGTTAGGTCATGTTAGGTTAGGTTGGGTTAGGTCATGTTAGGTTAGGTTATGTTAGGTCATGTTAGGTTAGGTTGGGTTAGGTTATGTTAGGTTAGGTTAGGTTAGGTCATGTTAGGTTAGGTTGGGTTAGGTCATGTTAGGTTAGGTTGGGTTAGGTTAGGTTAGGTTAGGTTAGGTTGGGTTGGCTTAGGTTGGGTTGGGTTGGGTTAGGTTAGGTTAGGTTAGGTTAGTAGGTTGGGTTAGGTTATGTTAGGTTTGGTTAGGTTAGGCTAGGTTAGGTTAGGCTAGGCTAGGTTGGGTTAGGTTAGGCTAGGTTGGGTTAGGTTAGGCTAGGTTGGGTTAGGTTAGGTCATGTTAGGCTAGGTTGGGTTAGGTTAGGTTTGGTTAGGTTAGGTTAGGTTAGGTTAGGTTTGGTTAGGTTAGTCTAGATTAGGTTAGGTTAGGCTAGGTTAGACTAGGTTAGGCTAGGTTAGGTTAGGTTACGTTAGGCTAGGTTAGGTTAGGTTAGGTAAGGTTAGGTTAGGTTAGGTTAGGTTTGGTTAGGTTAGGTTAGGTTTGGTTTGGATGGGTTGGGTTGGGTTTAGGTTTGGTTAGGTCAGGCTAGGTTAGGTTAGGTTAGGTTAGGCTAAGTTAGGTTAGGTCAGGCTAGGTTAGACTAGGTTAGGTTAGGTTAGGTTAGGTTATGTTAGGTTAGGTTAGGTTAGGTTTGGTTTGGTTGGGTTGGGTTAGGTTTGGTTAGGTCAGGCTAGGTTAGGTTAGGTTAGGTTAGGCTAAGTTAGGTTAGGTCAGGCTAGGTTAGACTAGGTTAGGTTAGGTTAGGTTAGGTTAGGCTAGGTTAGGCTAGGATAGGTTAGGTTAGGTTAGGTTAGGTTAGGTTAGGTTTGGTTAGGTTAGGCTAGGTTAGGTTAGGTTAGGTTAGGCTAGGTTAGGTTAGGTTAGGTTAGGCTAGGTTAGGTTAGGTTAGGTTTGGTTAGGTTAGGTTAGGCTAGGTTAGGTTAGGTTAGGTTAGGTTAGGTTAGGTTAGGTTAGGCTAGGTTAGGTTAGGTTAGGTTAGGTTAGGTTAGGTTAGGCTAGGTTAGGTTAGGTTAGGTTAGGTTAGGTTAGGTTAGGTTAGGTTAGGTTAGGTTAGGCTAGGTTAGGTTAGGCTAGGTTAGGTTAGGTTAGGCTAGGTTAGGTTAGGTTAGGTAACATAAAATACGATACCAACAACACAATATAATAAACGAGGTACAGAAATTAGGTATTATACCCACCATTGCAGGTCTGGTGTTCGTAGGTGGCAAGGGTAAAGTGTGGCAGAGAAAATATATCGTGATCCAGCCTGCTGGTGGCTGGTGCCCAGTCCTCACACCACTCAAACTGAACCATCTCTGACTTGTATGATACTGAGAGAGACACAACTATTATATACAAACATTTGTCTATATATCAGAGCAAGACTAGGCCAGCAGGCCTGAAGCAGTGCTCCTGTTTCTTATGTTCTTATGGACACAACACTGGTACTAGTGACTACCTCTACTAGGCTACACAACACTGGTACTAGTGACTACCTCTACTAGGCTACACAACACTGGTACTAGTGACTACCTCTACTAGGCTACACAAACACTGGTACTAGTGACTACCTCTACTAGGCTACACAACACTGGTACTAGTGACTACGTCTACTAGGCTACACAACACTGGTAATAGTGACTACATCTACTAGGCTACACAACACTGGTACTAGTATCTACTAAGCTACACAAAACTAGTACTAGGGACTATCTACTAGGCTACACAACACTGGTACTAGTGACTACGTCTACTAGGCTACACAACACTGGTAATAGTGACTACATCTACTAGGCTACACAACACTGGTACTAGTGACTACGTCTACTAGCTACACAACACTGGTACTAGTGACTACGTTACTAGGCTACACAACACTGGTTAATAGTGATTCATCTACTAGGCTACACAACACTGGTACTAGTGACTACATCTACTAGGCTACACAACACTGGTACTAGTGACTACGTCTACTAGGCTACACAACACTGGTACTAGTGACTACGTCTACTAGGCTACACAACACTGGCACTAGTGACTACCTCTACTAGGCTACACAACACTGGTACTAGTGACTACGTCTACTAGGCTACACAACACTGGTAATAGTGACTACATCTACTAGGCTACACAACACTGGTACTAGTATCTACTAAGCTACACAAAACTAGTACTAGGGACTATCTACTAGGCTACACAACACTGGTACTAGTGACTACGTCTACTAGGCTACACAACACTGGTAATAGTGACTACATCTACTAGGCTACACAACACTGGTACTAGTGACTACGTCTACTAGGCTACACAACACTGGTACTAGTGACTACGTCTACTAGGCTACACAACACTGGTAATAGTGATTACATCTACTAGGCTACACAACACTGGTACTAGTGACTACATCTACTAGGCTACACAACACTGGTACTAGAGACTACGTCTACTAGGCTACACACACTGGTACTAGTGACTACGTCTACTAGGCTACACAACACTGGTACTAGTGACTACCTCTGCTAGGCTACACAACACTGGTACTAGTGACTACGTCTACTAGGCTACACAACACTGGTACTAGTGACTACATCTACTAGGCTACACAACACTGGTACTAGTGATTATCTACTAGGCTACACAACACTGGTACTAGTATCTACTAGGCTACACAAAACTAGTACTAGGGACTATCTACTAGGCTACACAACACTGGTACTAGTGACTATTAGGCTACACAACACTGGTACTAGTATCTACTAGGCTACACAAAACTAGTACTAGGGACTATCTACTAGGCTACACAGCACTGGTACTAGTGACTACATCTACTAGGCTACACAACACTGGTATTAGGGACTACCTCTACTAGGCTACACAACACTGGTACTAGTGACTACCTCTACTAGGCTACACAACACTGGTACTAGTGACTACGTCTACTAGGCTACACAACACTGGTAATAGTGACTACATCTACTAGGCTACACAACACTGGTACTAGTGACTACGTCTACTAGGCTACACAACACTGGTACTAGTGACTACGTCTACTAGGCTACACAACACTGGTAATAGTGATTACATCTACTAGGCTACACAACACTGGTACTAGTGACTACATCTACTAGGCTACACAACACTGGTACTAGTGACTACGTCTACTAGGCTACACAACACTGGTACTAGTGACTACGTCTTACTAGGCTACACAACACTGGTACTAGTGACTACGTCTACTAGCTACACAACACTGGTAATAGTGATTACATCTACTAGGCTACACAACACTGGTTACTAGTGACTACATCTACTAGGCTACACAACACTGGTACTAGTGACTACGTCTACTAGGCTACACAACACTGGTACTAGTGACTACGTCTACTAGGCTACACAACACTGGTACTAGTGACTACCTCTGCTAGGCTACACAACACTGGTACTAGTGACTACGTCTACTAGGCTACACAACACTGGTACAAGTGACTACATCTACTAGGCTACACAACACTGGTACTAGTGATTATCTACTAGGCTACACAACACTGGTACTAGTATCTACTAGGCTACACAAAACTAGTACTAGGGACTATCTACTAGGCTACACAACACTGGTACTAGTGACTATCTATTAGGCTACACAACACTGGTACTAGTATCTACTAGGCCTACACAAACTAGTATCTAGGGACTATCTACTAGGCTACACAGCACTGGTACTAGTGACTACATCTACTAGGCTACACAACACTGGTACTAGGGACTATCTACTAGGCTACACAACACTGGTACTAGTGACTACATGTACTAGGCTACACAACACTGGTACTAGGGACTATCTACTAGGCTACACAACACTGGTACTAGTGACATCTACTAAGCTACACAACACTGGTACTAGGGACTATCTACTAGGCTACACAACACTGGTACTAGTGACTATCTACTAGGCTACACAACACTGGTACTAGCGACTATCTACTAGGCTACACAACACTGGTACTAGTGACATCTACTAGGCTACACAACACTGGTACTAGTGACTATCTACTAGGCTACACAACACTGGTACTAGTGACTATCTACTAGGCTACACAACACTGGTGCTAGTGACTATCTACTAGGCTACACAACACTGGTACTAGTGACTATCTACTAGGCTACACAACACTGCTACTAGTGACTATCTACTAGGCTACACAACACTGGTACTAGTGACTATCTACTAGACTACACAACACTGGTACTAGTGACTATCTACTAGGCTACACAACACTGGTACTAGTGACTATCTACTAGGCTACACAACACTGGTACTAGTGACTATCTACTAGGCTACACAACACTGGTACTAGGGACTATCTACTAGGCTACACAACACTGGTACTAGTGACTATCTACTAGGCTACACAACACTGGTACTATCTCATCCTCTACTATCCTAGTATATCTGTCATACTATTCACTATTTATCTACTCTTACCACTTATTTCCTTTTTAAATAGACCTACTGTAACTCTGGAACACCCAGGCCTATCACTTTTACTTCTTACTTTAGTAATTACTTAATTAAGTTAACTTTGGTAACTCTTAAATACTTAAAAATACAGTGGACCCTCGAATTTAGTCGTGCCATTCCTGTACGCAAAACTATTTTTTAGTCGATAAAATGTATTTTTTGTTAATATTTTTGGGTGTCTGGAATGGTTTAATTGGATTTACATTATTTCCTATGGGAAATATTAAAAAAAATACATTTTATAGATAATAGAAATAGTTTTGCATACAGAAATGGCACTACTAAATTCGAGGGTACTTAATTAATTTTAAGCAAATACCCGAGATATCAATATATACTTAAAGGTGTGTATGTGTGTATGTACACTGAGAGGTGTGTATGTCTGTGTATATACACTGAGAGGTATGTGTATGTACACTGAGAGGTGTGTATGTCTGTATATACACTGAGAGGTATGTGTATGTACACTGAGAGGTGTGTATGTCTGTGTATATACACTGAGAGGTATGTATATGTGTATATACACTGAGAGGTATGTGTATGTACACTGAGAGGTGTGTATGTCTGTGTATATACACTGAGAGGCGTGTTTGTGTGTATATATACACCGAGAGGTGTGTATATCTGTGTATATATATCTGGGTATTCATACACTGAGAAGTATGTATGTCAGTGCATGCAGACAGTGGGGCACAAACTATCTATTTTGCATGTCGTGGTCATATCTCCCCCATCAACAAGGAAGGATAACACTCACAGCTCTGTATCAGCATCTCACACTTTTGCTCGTCGTGAGGATAGTGGTGGAAGTCGAAGTGACACATTAATGTAATACTCATTCTTGTACGTCAAGCACCGTCACCAGGGATGGTACGCCAAGCACCGCCACCAGGGATGGTACGTCAAGCACCGTCACCAGGGATGGTACGCCAAGCACCACCACCAGGGATGGTACGCCAAGCACCACCACCAGGGATGGTACGCCAAGCACCACCACCAGGGATGGTACGTCACCAGGGAAGGTACGTCAAGCACCGTCACCATGGAAAGAGAGAGAGAAAGAAAGACAATAGTTACTTGGAATTATTTATCATTCCCCCCTCCCCATGGTATAGATGGTAGTCATAAATTAAGGTAGCCCCAAATGGATCACGGGACTGTCTCCCAGGGTACTGATAACTTACCATCTTACAGTGGTAATGAATTATCATACATCAAGATATACAGATATATATTGATTCTCTGGGTCTATGTATGGTATAGACAGATCTAGATTAATTAGGTATGGTAACAGGTACTACTTTAGAGGTACCTGCTGAAGAGACTTATGTGTCCATCGTTGGTATAAAAGGCCAGGTACTCGTTGTCAACCCAGTCCTTGTGTATAGATGACCTGATCCCATTCTTGAAGAAGGCGTCAGGCTGCCATATTTCTCCAGGAACTATAACACATGACAGAATAACTGTTAGAAGGTATCAGACAGTTATATGTTCTTCAGGAACTATAACATATTAAGAACACGCTTCACGAGTAATTTCTGAAGTCTGAAATTAAAACCTCTTCCCTTGTAACTTCCCGAATTGACAACAGGTAACAATTTCAACAGGACATATACAAGTAGCATATTTCCTCTGAGCAAAGTTGATTACCTCCCTGGCACTGGTTGACCTGCCTTCACTAGCACCTCACCTTGACTGGCAGAATGATGCGCTTGCTGGGAGGAGGATACTTCAACACACACTGAGGTATTGTGGCTGTGTAGTTCCCAGTACACACCTGCAAGAATACCTTATTGTGATAGTTATCCCCAGAGAGCTAATAACCAAGGATAACTCAAAGCCAGCTCCTTTTAAAACCCAAGATACCATCTACAACTGAAACATCTGACTAGTGAGACCCTGGACCCCTGGTTAACGAACAAAGGAACGAGCCTTCACTAGGGTTTAGCCTCTACTTAAGCTACAATATACACTCCTAAATAGCGTAAAACTTAAGCTTGTGCTACCTGTGAGAAGCGTAGGGGATTGGAGAGGTTTTGGTGGTGCAGGATTCCAACAAGGATCCAGTTCAGGGCGTTCCAGAGGCCAGCGAAGACGCCAGTCCTTCCAGCGATATGTTACGAAGGATTCAAACGCTGAAAGTCTGTAACAAAGACAAGAAAAGTGTCTTGCAAGATGGCAGTCTCAGTCAACTGAATCTTTTATAAAATATAGAAGACAAAACCCTCAGTGGAATTAGATACCCCAGGAGTATAATAACAATAATAATAATAATAATAATAATCATGTGAAACAATGTAATCACTGACATTGATACTTGACGTCAATCATGACATAAATTATAAAAGTAAGAGTAGGCAATTATAGAAGAGATATACAGTATACACCGAGAATTACCTCGGTAAAGCTGAAACCTTGCTTTCTGGCTTACGTACCTACACTCCTTTGGTTTCTAACCTTCTTGATAGCATCAAGAGAACTTTCAACCATAAACTTCTGACTCTTTCCGATCTCTGTCCTCCTGACTTTGACTTTATTCAACGTTTCTGTGTTATTTGTCCTTCTCTGCCTTATTTCTATGGTCTTCCTAAAACTCATAAACCTGATATCCATCTACGTCTCATCATATCCTCAAGAGTTCTGTCTCTTATTCTCTTGCGTCTTGGCTGCCCTAAACTCTCACTCATTTTCTTGGTACCTTCTCTCTTGCTCATCTTCTCTCTTGCTCATCTTCTCTCTTGCTCATCTTCTCTCTTGCTCATCTTCTCTCTTGTTCATCTTCTCTCTTGCTCATCTTCTCTCTTGCTCATCTTCTTTCTTGCTCATCTTCTCTCCTGCTCATCTTCGTCACTCTCAAGACTTCACCAAACGTGTTCGCTCTCTCCCGACCTGTAACATGCTCGGTCTTGACATTGACTCCCACTTCACTAATGCCCCTCAGAGTGAAGAGGCTCTTACCTCTCCTGCAGTACTTATTTTTCTTGTCCTTAGACTGATCCCACTTCTTAAGTCTTCCTCTCCATTCCTCTACTATTACTAATGCCTCTACTATTGCCTCCCTTCACACCCCTTTCTGTCTTGTGCTACTAAACCACTGCCACCACTGCTGTTTCTTCCTCTCTTGGTCCCGTCCTTGTCCCGCTCGCCTATATATACTGACTCTCATTCTTGTGTGTTAGTGTGACTTTGTAAATGGTCCAAGTCGGACCGAAACGTCGTCGTAAGCTCCTCTCTCCTATGTGCAGGTTATTTATGTATCACGGACAATAATAACAATGAACAGGCTTCAGGATATTACTCCACCATCACCAACACCAATACCACCACCACTACTATCAACAAGCACCACCACCACCAATACTTCAACAAGCACCACCACCACTACTATCAACAAGCACCACCACCACTACTATCAACAAGCACCACCACCACTACTATCAACAAGCACCACCACCACTACTATCAACAAGCACCACCACCACCACTACTATCAACAAGCACCACCACCACCACTACTATCAACAAGCACCACCACCACCACTACTATCAACAAGCACCACCACCACCACTACTATCAACAAGCACCACCACCACCACTACTATCAACAAGCACCACCACCACCACTACTATCAACAAGCACCACCACCACCACTACTATCAACAAGCACCACCACCACCACTACTATACAACAAGCACCACCACCACCATTACTATCAACAAGCACCACCACCACCACTACTATCAACAAGCACCACCACTACTATCAACAAGCACCACCACCACCACTACTATCAACAAGCACCACCACCACCACTACTATCAACAAGCACCACCACCACCACTACTATCAACAAGCACCACCACCACCACTACTATCAACAAGCACCACCACCACCACTACTATCAACAAGCACCACCACCACTACTATCAACAAGCACCACCACCACCACCCACCATATCGTTCTCGTTGATGGAACTGATGTCCAAGAGCTTCATATCAAAGTACACTATAGCAGGCATAGTGTCCGTAGCAGGAGAAGTGTACTTGTCGTAGTACTGAGGTATCATAGACTCATGTGTGTCCCAGGTGACTGACCTCAGCACCAGACTCTGCCCACACCTGCAAAACATAAGACTGACAGTTAGTATGGAATTACCTCATTGTAATAGAGTTGAACTCCTGGTATTCAGTCTTCAATACTATGTTCATCATATCAAGTTTGTAATGGTTCCAGCATTTATTGCTGCTTCTTTTAAATCACCTGTATATAGCTGTGTATTCAATACATCATCCATGTAGACTGGACAGAGGCAGGGAGAGAGAGGGACTGGACAGAGGCAGGGAGTGAGAGGGACTGGATAGATAAGGAGTGAGAGGGACTGGATAGACAGGGAGTGAGAGGGACTGGATAGACAGGGAGTGAGAGGGACTGGATAGACAGGGAGTGAGAAGGACTGGATAGACAGGGAGTGAGAAGGACTGGGTAGACAGGGAGAGGGACTGGATAGACAGGGAGTAACAGGGAATGGATAGACAGGGAGTGAGAGGGACTGGAGAGGCAACTTCTGAGTCTATCCCTTCCGTCATGTCATTTACATATACCAAAAAACAACACAGGTCCTAGGACTGACCCCTGTGGAACCCTGCTCATCACAGGTAAACCCCTTCTGAAAACCTAGTCACGTACCATGACTCGTTGTAGCCTCCCTGTCAGAGATTCTCTGATCCATTGCAGTGCCTTTCCTGTTATGCGTACCTGATCCTCAAGCTTTTGCATTAACCTCTTGTGAGGAACTGTGTCGAAGGCCTTCCTGCATTCCAAGAAAATGCAATCTATCACATCTTCCCCTCACTCTCGTTGTCTTATTCCCATTACCTTGTCATAAAACTCCAGTAGGTTCGTGACAGGATTTTCCTTCCTGAAACCGTGCTGGTTGTCAATTATACACTTGTTTCTTTCTAGGTGTTCCACCACTTTG